AGTCAGAAGAAAAAGCAGCTCACTCCAACATAAATGTTTTGGTACTGCAGTGCTCCCAGTAAAATAAAATAAAATAAAATAAAATAATAAAATAAAATCTCATTTCTGGTAGAAAGTAATATTCATTATAATGCCTCATTTTCACATCATCACTTTCTGTATTTAAAGTTTCATTTTTTGAAATTCTTGTTTGTTTGTACTCATTCTTTATTTCTTTATTTCTTCACATCACTTCGACATTGTCATAATTTTATTTTGGTTTTACACTCAAGGACAAGCTAAGAATCACTGAGATGATAGTATATTGTGTGCTCTTTCTGTCATCTACAATTTCTCTGAACGTTCATCATTTTAAATCAGGTTTCAGGTTGCTGCTAAATATATGCCTCTTACTAAATATATATTTTTAGCCTCCTGTCCCATTAGTACAAAGTTACAGCCACATTAAGAGAAACTGCTTTATAGAACTCTTTTTATCTCTCCATGAATCAACCTACCCCTGTTTTGAAACTTGAAATTCATGGCATAATAATATTCTTTAATTATATTGCACCCACTCTTGAAAAATACCTCAAAATGCAGCTTTCAGACTCAGATTATGGCCGCCAGTAAATACTTGTTCACATAACAAAAGTGAAACTTATACTGAGTTTTTTGGGAGGCCTTTTGTTTTCCATCCAGAGAGCACCTATTGTATATTTCTACTGCCTATTGTATCCAGCAGCTCCATATCAGCTGCCAGGTGTTGTCCCAGAAATGTCAGCTGGAGGGAGTGAATGCAATTAGGAATGCCCTGGTGACAGCTTGACAGTTACAGTGTATATGTTTAAATTTTTAATTGGCTGTGTAGCACAGAAAGCACACAATTTAGATTATTCCTGAAAACTGGACCAGTACACTAAACGAACATCTTCTTTCATTTGGAAGAAATGAAGATCAGTGTGCAGCTGGAAGCCCAAATATATCGATGTTTTTTAATAAAATGTTTGAAACTAGTTTCTGAAACATATTTTGCTTCCAGTGACTGTGAGAAGACTTGCTTGTTAGCACAGCAAGGAAAGCTAGTGCTTTAAAGCAGTTCATTTCACCTATACTGAAACTTTAGCATACATAATTATGTAAAATCTGGGGCCTCAATACTACTTTCATTAGTAATATGAGTATTTTGTCATTACTAAATTTCTATATAACAATTTCTACAGGCATGTAAAATATCTTTTAAAATAAATCCTGCAATCAATTCAAAAAATATAGACTAAAAACTTGGAACACAATCATTAAGAAAAAAAAACATTCTATATGGAGTAGCTTAGTGTAGCCATGAAAAGTAGAATTAAAGAATATGCCAAGCTCGACATAACGTGATCTTTTCTGAGGGGCAATATGACCAGGTCCTACCCAACAGCATATTCACTTTGGATGCACATCCCAATCTAAGATAACTTTCTTTTTTTCTTTTAAGAATTTTAGATCCAAGGGTATTTAGAGTTTGTTCATGAAGTTCATGTCTTTTTTTTTATGTCTGTGTACTGCCTTGCCTCTATCTTTCCTTTTCATTGCATTATGCTGCAGTTTAAATAGGCTGTGGCAGAAAAAAATTATGCATTTGCTTCTTCATGCTGTCTATCTCTACACGTGATCTTTTAATGCAGTAAAATCTGAACTGCTGTACTTAAAGCTGTTTGTAATACTGTGTGTATCCATGTACTGCCACAGTAAAGTTACCATTCAGAGTAACTTAATTTTGCCCAGCTATTAGGACAGAGACTAGAGTATATCAGTGGAAGCTGCAAGAATAGTGTGGGATAAGGGAATTTTGCTAGATTTTGGCCAGGTAGCTGAATTTTTTAGTCTTTATTCTTGTGAAAAATCCATGTACTCAGTGTAATTCTGACTTTTTGTTCTCACTGAAAAAGAGACTTTCCGGAAACCTGTCACCCTGCGATTTTATGGTCCCTCAGGAAGTGATGTATTTCATTTCTGAGCTCCTAGTCTCAGAGCTACATTGGATTAGGACAGTTATGAGAAATACCCTCATATATTCGTATGTGTATATATATAAAAAGAAAAGACATAATAGACAGTATTATCCTTTCTCTTGTTAACCATTTGCCAGTCAGATTTGTGAGGCAAGAGTACCATAGCATGTTTACAGTCAGTACCAATGCTGCAAACAGGCATTCCTATAGCTCATCTCTACAAAAACTTGCTTCTTTTGAACAATTCTCCTTCAATTTTATCCAACATACAAATCTGTTTCAGATATTAAAAAAATAAAACACAACAGTGGAAGTAAGCAAGACTCCTGAAGTCAAGATACGGTGGTTATCTTCTTCATTGTGACATTAGGTTAAACAAGTCAAATCGATGCAGGAAATTTTGTGTCTGGCTGAGAAGAGAATCCAGTCTTCTTCTCTGGTGTGCCCTATATTTTGCCTTACTTACCTAGAGCTTCTGTGCACATGTGATCCATGTTGGACTGGGATAGCAATCCTACCTAGACCAAGCATACACTGAAAAGCAGGGAGAAGGGTCATAAAATGATTTATGCTGAAGACATACAAAATGAACACTAATATCTTTGGGTGGGTAAAACGAGACAATTGGTTCTCCAATCTATTCAGATAAATTATATTTCACTCTTGGAGCTCTGTTTCCTACATCATCATTAATTTGGGATCTATACCTGGTCTAGGATCCCTTTGTTGCTACTATAGGACTAGCAGAATATAAACAGCCAGCAGTATGGCAGACAGATAAAGAAAAAAAGCATGAACTCACTGAGTAATACCTGCAAAACATTTAGCAGTTTTTTCCACAATCAATCAGTAACATATACCTTTGTCAGTTAACGTGATCTTGACATTATGCCTGAAGTTATCTCAATATCAATAAATCCATTTCATATTTACTTTTTCATTTCATTCCACTGAGTAAACAAGTTTTCACCCTTCATCCTCAAGTTCCTGGGTATTTTTGCTGAGTTACAGCTGTGGGGGAGTCACTGCGGTACATTATTTTCTCACTGCAGTGTTACTGAGGAATAAGGTTGCAGAACTATAATGTGACTAGTGCTTAGAGTTTTCTTCTTTGCCCTTGGTTTCACATTAAAAAGGTAGGACAAGCACAATCAAATGCTAATATATGAACAGTCAGTAGTCAAAGGAGAATGCACCAGCAGCCACACAAAATTTTTGGAAAGTGAAAAGTTTCCAGCAGTTATAATTTGTTGCCCCTTTTTAAGCTCAGAGGTCAGAACCAGAGAATGGTTCTCTTCCTTTATGTAGGAGTAAACTGTCCCCTGTGGAAGCAATATATTATATAAGAAAAAAAAAATTAGAAAACTGTCTTGCTGTTAAAATATTCCAGAACTGAAAGCCAGGATGACCTAAAAGTCTCATCACGAGGAGCAGCAGCAGTCATAAGAAGCAAACTAGATACTAGTAAATCACAACAATTAGTTGCTACTCTGCTGGGGGCACCAAGAATATGCTTATTTCCTTCAGGATTATAATTCAATTTTGAAACTAAAGTGATCATAAAATACACCTGTGAGTGTTTAATTTTAGGTCAAAGTAATATATTAAAAAGATTGCTATCCTAGATTTTAAAAGCATTAGCTTGAGTCATGTAACATAACCTCATTTTGATCATTCTGAGTTTAGAAAATCTACAATTACTAGTAATGGCAAGAAGTCACATCAGGGCCAAATAAGATTAGTAAGAAATAAAACTGCATGTCAGCAGTGTAACAGAAACTGAAATGAATGATCAAATGGGCAGAACATTCCTGCAGCCTAGACAGTAAATTTCCTATAATTGGGAAAGAGAACAATGTGTAGCCACAAGAAGAGTCTATAGTAAGCACTTAAACGATCAATTTGAAAAAGTTTTCTAAGCAGAATATTATATTAGGTTTCATAACACTATATAAGAGGATTTTGTGGCTTTCCCTGTTGATCTTAGCACAATAATAAATGAAAAAAAAATCTGCAAAAACACCAAAGAGGAAAAAATTGGTTTGAAACTTAGTGAAATATAGCAACAGTGAGGACACAGCCTGTGTTTGTTTTCTACACTGTGCAAACTTCAGAGACTCACCCAAAATGCTTTTCAGCATTTCTCCTGATGGAAGCCAAGCAGAATCTTAGCATGTGAAGCTGAATTACCACCCTGAACTCACCCTATTTGATCTTGAATTAATGCTCATATAGACATTGGCATGTTTTCAGGGAAGGCAAAAAATAAACAACAACTGCCAGTAAAAAAATCTATCAACTATCTCATCCAAACAGACATTTCCAGGTTGCTTAAAGGAATAGTTCATGATAATGTTTGATGTTTGATGGAAGCCACCAATATCCACTAACATACTTATATCCACCACTACACATTCATTCATTCGTTCAAAAAAAAAAAAAAAGATGAAGAAAGGAAGCATTTTCTTTATTTTGGAGAGAATAAAGATTTTGTATGCATTGCCCAATTATTTAAATGTTCAGGAATAACACTGCAGGGGAGACATTTAGGTTACTTTCACACTACCAAAATGCCAAGGAAGCCCCTGTGCCCAAGGTGGCAGGTAGGTATCTCGTTAGGTCTCTGGAGTGAGTATCAAGAGCTTCAGTACAAAGCGGAGCAGGTAAGTAAAAGGAAGCATAGGTGCAGAAATGTGGACTGCACTCAGTAGAATTTAGGCCATCCGAAACCAGCACTTATTTTCTCCTTTGCATAACTCAGTGGATGAAATTCTATGGCCTACTTCTGCAGAAGGTTGAAAAAGAGTAGTGTAATGGCCTATTTGGCCTTCAACCCATGTGGCTGATTTTTATTTAGGCTCAGATTTCTCACTGCTCTGGCAATAAGCAGTCTATATTTAGGGATGCTTAAAAGCTTTTTTTCCCGCTACTACAACAAAGCAATCAAGTTTCAGGGAAAACAAGATTCTGAATCTATGCATCTTTAAACATCAGAAGCATTTTTCAAGTAACTTGTCTTACCTCTTTCTCCATTTGAAGCCCTTCGGCTCTGATATTCCTCTCAAATACTTCCCTCTTTTCCGTCTGTGGATTGGATTTTCTATATACCAGAATGTAGTCGATTCGACATTTCCCATCTCTAAAATATAATCCATTGGTTTTGTTCTTATCAGGTGCTTCCTGTCAAAAGGAAGGCAAATATTTCAGTAATGTCAGTGCACTTTGGTAATTGCTGTATCTTGATCTGCATCTGCAATCTTCAGCATTACTCAACTGTAAAGATCAGAACAAGCTGCTCAGATTTTTTAGGTGCTTTAAATAAAAATGTTCCTGAGGTCCTCTGAAAGGAGTGCAGATCTCCCCAGTTCAAAACCAGGAGGTCACTTAGGCAGATGTTCTGTCACATTGTATTGGAACATGACAATATTTTATGTGAGACAACCTTCTTCTCTTATGACCCACCAGAAATTTAGCAATAGCTTCCTATCTATAAAATAAACCAGAGAACAGTGTTATAATGAATTGTACATTTATAACTAAGGACTCAAGATGGTAGAACATCATTTTGCATGTGGAGAGGAAATGACGGCTCAATATTTACTGTGGTGAGAAATGCAAACCCTGCTGTAGAGATTCCCTTTGCTTTGTGGTAAGAGTGCCCCTTTCTCATAGGACACAGAGTAGAGTAGGAACGTCCTGCTCCCACCTCACCATACTTCATCAGTTTAACTACAAAATATTATAGGTTTATGAAACAACTGAGAAAACCCACCAGATTTATTTGAAAATAATTCCTGTTATTTTGTTTTGTTTTGTTTTCATCTAGTAGCACATAAAGGCAATAAATATTACTTCTTGGCTATTTTCAGCAGAGAATGTGCCTGTTCAAATGTTTTCTCTGGCAGAGAGAGGCAAGCTGATTGCACTGTTAGTAAGAGGTCAAGCAGATTCCTCTCCTGAGAGCTAGAAGACTAACTACATTGCTGTTGTCTTTTAGAAATTCATAAAATGAAATTCTCCACAGAACCTCTTCATATTTTATCACGACCAGGACTGGGCAAGTCATGCCCAGGGGTCAAGTTTTTGTTTTACACAAGTTGAAATTGCTGATGGGTTGGAGCAGTTCTAACAAGATACGTACACTACAAATGGTATATGGAAACAAACCAAATTCCTTGGGAGCAGTATAGCAGCCGGGGCCTTCATGGCCCTTGAGATCAGTCCACCTCCAAGCTGAGGAGAAGGGTGGGCTCTTTCTTCTTCATTCTCCTACGTGACTTGCTGAATCATTCCTCCCAGAAATAACCTTGTTCTTTAATACATAGCCAAATATCTGAAAAATGAATTCTTTGCCTTTCACATGGAGGAAGAATAGGGAACTTTCAAAATACTTTCTTAGAAGAACCGCTTAATTTAAATGACAAAACGTGAGCAGAGTTGCCATAATAACAATAGGAAAAATTATTCTTACAGAAGAACCAAGCAAGAATCCCAGTCAGAAAGTTTAGTGTAAGCTACTTCTGGATTTCCAGCAGGCATCTTTGTTTAAATAGAAAACAAATGAGAGCATCCCCAGTACACATTCCCTTGGTACCACCAGTTTATTGCAGGCAGAGAGCGGAATTTTTCTAGGATTGTTTTATTACAGTGCCTAACTTCTGACACAGCTTAATGCAGATTTGATATAGTAGGAACAGTTCTTGGAGTTGAAAAAGAAGACTAGAAAAAAAGATTTAAGCCCTTAGGAAATAGCGGTAACAGATCTTTTATATCTGTACTAATATCACGCTGACAAATGATATTATCAGGATATGAGAATTGTTTTTCAGAAACCATTACATCTGAAAACAGCTCTGGAAGAATTTTTTTTTTCCTCTTCTAGAAAATACATATGTTAAGAAAGCAGGAAAAAAAAGAGGATATTTAAATAACAGGAGGGTGCAGTAGCTCTTAAATTTCTAAGCCTCCTGCTCAGCCATTCTTTCTGTTTGGTAGGTGCCAGGTTGTACAGATACAGACTGGCTGTATCTATTTTGGTAAGTAAGGCAGCATCATAGGAAAGGATCTGTAGAGTAAAACAATCCATACCAAGGACCAGATGTGTGGAGTTGTCCAGGCTTGAGGTTTTGCTTTTGGCAACTCTAGTCTAGTCTAAGAGATTCTCTGTTCATTATCAGTTGAAATCTGACAGTTTATTTTCACCCAGAAGGAATCCAGTTTTTGAAATCTGGAACTGCTCAGTAATGCAAACCAAAGGATGGGAAGCAGGGGTAGGGGGAGAGTTTCACCTCAAACACTCTCTCCTGATCTGAACTAAAATGCTATCATTGACCCATCCAGCATGAATCACAAGGAATGTATCTTTTCCCCCATGGAGTAGGGATTCTACTGGAAAATAAAACAGATAGACTTGCCCTTTGGCTCTGTATGTTTCGTCTTTTCCTCAGAGGAAATTGGTTTGCCCTACACTGACAACAGAGTGGATGTGTTAAAAAGTACCTTGTGTTAAAAATTTCCTATAAGATTTGGCTGTTATGTGAGCCATAGCACCTCTTCACCTATAAATACAACCTCCTGGGACAACTACATTCTGTTGAACTTGTGACACTCCCCTCACCCCAGTATTGCCGTTATTTTGTTCAGAAAGGCTGCTTCGACCCTATCTGCAGTTGCAGGACCTGGTCATCTGAGGAATACAGTATGACAAATCAAGACTAACAAGGCCTCCTGGACTTGCTCCTGGAAGAAACCAGTTCTGTTCTCTTCTATTATGGGAAGCTAATTAACCTGTCTGGCTTGACGAGCTGAGCCTGGACTTATCAGGATACAGCAATGTAGCACAACACACACACACAAGCTGGCTCAGCAGCTTGTAGATAGAGGAGCAGCTGGACTTTCACATTATCCAGAATGTTCCAGGATTTCACTGCTGTAGTTCAAGACTTTGTTCCCATTTTGAGACTCACTGACAATTTCCCAACATTTCCTGTATTTCCCTCTGTTGTGACTTCAAAATTCACTTTTCCTGCACTGATTTAAAAAGTAAATAAATAAAATTGGTTCTGACTACAGTTTTTGGTGGCAAAGTTGTACAGTCATGGAAGTCGAATATGTATTCCTTGGGCCAGAATGCTAGGAGAAATCTATAGAACAGCAGAGACTTAACTTTAGCAAGAAGTTCAGTACTCACTGCCGTCTTTGCAGCTTTATAGTTAAGGTTGTATAATCAGGATTCTGTTTGGCAGCAATGCATTGGATTTCATATCCTCAGGGCTCTCAGTTGGGAGCCATCAGCTTTCATAGGCACATGACTCTTACACATATACACTCTGGTAGGACTTCAGACTAAAGGCTTACCCCAAGTGTTTCACCAGACAGAAAAGATGTAATAGCTATAAAGAATTTACATGGAAATTTTAAACAGGAACACAGTTGGGGAAATCAAGGATGTTTGAAACTACCTGCAGGTCTTTTTAAAAATAAATCAAAAAGGACTGCAATATCCACTTATTTAAAAATTATATTTTTTTCTTCATTCCCAGTAATTTTGGTATGTAGCTATTACCAGTATGGATATCTGATGAAGATAGGATCTTTGAATTTTAGAGGTGATCTTTTCCTTTTGCTTGTGCCTACTTGTATTTATAATCTCTTGTATATGACTTCAAAAATGGCTTGGGGATTAGTTTTTGCACCATGAATAGTGATAAACCACGTGGAAAAAGAGGAACCCAGAATCATTCTATTTTTAAGGCAGTCATAATCAAAGAATATTTTCCAGCCTTGTCCATATTTTCTGTGTCATTTTTCTTAGTAACCTTTTAACCGTTTAGATGATGGTTTTGGAGAGGCTGTATTTTTGTATATCTTGAGTTCAGCATATTATTCTTGCCATTATAATATATTTAATTATGTAAAGCCTTTCTAACAATAAAATTATCTAAACTACAAAATAATGGGGCCAAAAGCTAGAAAATAAAAGATTTGTAGCTATCTGTGAAACCTTAGATTATTTCTTGCTCAAATGGGCACTGAAGAAGACACAGATTTTGTGAAAAAAATGAGCATGTGGCTTGTATTGTAATATATATGTTTGATAAAACTGAGCTTAAATTGCACAGATTATCACATGAGCCATAAGAACATAAGAATTCTTGTTTTGCAATTTGAAGAAATTTATTCTGGCATAAACTTTAGTGCAAAATCCAATTTATAGAAGAGACTGTTAAAACAAACTCGATTATGTGCCAAATTAATAACACTGTCCCCAAATATCATCAGCAGAGTTTGAAGCTAAACTGGCTAATAGGATTGACTGTTATCATTTAAATTTCAGAACTGTCTACATTAGCTGTAACATAATGACTTATGGCCTATGGCCTGTAATGGGCCTTGTAGGCTAATTGAAGTAAAAGATTAATTTTGTCCCAGCTTCTCCTTTCTCCCATCCTTGGACACAGAAAGCTGATTTAATGTTCGACAGAAAGAGAGATGGAATTGAAGTGGTCCTAAACAGCAGCTCCTAAATCATCTTTCCTTTTCATTTTTGCCTCCTATCTGCTTGTACTCTGATTCTCACAAAGTGAAACTTCACTGGAGTTAAACCTACAAGATTTTGGTGATAATACCTCTCCAGTTTTAGATTTTAAAGTACCTATCTTATTATTATGTTGGCATATGTAAAAAGTATTTTGATCCATGCACATGAAATGTGATTTCTAATTTGCTTGGAACTTAGCTGTGCCTGAACAAAACATAACACAGTTCAAGCCAATGTTTCACCAAAGGGCAAGCTGAATGCCAAACTGGCCCTGATTCTGTGACAGGACAGTTGATAAAGCTCCCTCCATAAAATTTTCTCCGGAGGCAGTCATACACAAACTAGGGAGAATGCAACATAACTTTGAGATCTGGTTGAACATGCACAACTAACAATTGAAACAAGCAGTATTTGACTCATTGGCTAAAACCGAGAAACCCTGGAATTCTCATGTAAATTTTTTGGACTATAGCTGCATTTTAACAAACTCACTCAGAAACCACATTGTATTAGGTAGCTGCAATGTTACCTTTAGAACGAAATCAAACAAACATCAGTATATTCAGATAGGCTTTCTCTAGTGTCCCCACTCCTGATGATGCTAGGAGGGATCTACAAGCTCTCTTAGCTGTTCAAGGTAGAGCTCTATCACTTAACTGAAGGGAAGTCTGGAGCTTTCAGAGATCACTCCATTCACTGCACATGAATGCAAACCATACAACTACATCTAAACAGATTATCTTTTCCTTTTGGAATCAACCAGGGGTCAAGTATTTTGAAATAGTTTTTTATAAAGAAAAAGTTTTTTTTATAGGTTCCCACATCCCTCAATTCCCATTAAGACTTTCTTTTTTTTTTTTTTCTTATATAAATCACATAACCTATATTGCTATTTTTCTTAACTATGATTCTGAAAAAGAAAATGTTCATAGAGGAAAATATTCCTCAGATGTTTTCCTTTGAAAAGCAATAAGGTCTGGTACAAAGAATGCATAAAAGGGAAAACAGGAATTGCAGCGCTGTTATATTAACTGCAGCATATGTTGTTCTCTCTTGTCCCCTACTTACCACTCTTCTGCTCATTTTTTTTCCTTTAACATGTAAGGTCATGTACCTTTCATCCCCCTCGATTTGTTAGAGACCATATGATACAAGATTACTAAATGCACACTGGGTTATCATGTCACATTACCCTATTATAATGTAAGCAGGCAGAAGCCTTTATGAAAGTGAAGTGGGAATCTGGGGAAGAGTGATGAGAAAGGGGAAAGTTGAAATTGTGAGCAAGGTCAAACATACCTGAGTGGCCTGAATTTTTTGCCTTTAATTATCTGTTTAAACATTGCGGGAGTGCAGCTCTCTAAGGGCTGAATTTCTAGCACAGGGAAAATCTCTCCCTCTGTCCTCAACAGTGTTTCACAAAATGACTTGTACCAAAAAGCCTCTAGCTCCTGTAAAAGATATAGCTGCAATTCTGGCATCTAAGCCATATTTATACTGGTAATCTAGGGCAGAGACTTCCACAGTATCTGATGGTCTTTCATATTTTCTAATGTAGTGTGGTCTCTGTGAGTTTTGACCTTGTCAATCGGCCTACACCAAACTATTCTTCAGTGATTTGGAGGTAGCATAGGGCCTCTCTGATATGGAGTCTGGATGCAGCCACATTCCTGAAACAGGAAAAAAGGAAGCCTCAGGATCAGAGTCTGGTCTGGTCTCTGATCTCTTTGCTCTCTGAGCAAAGAGCACTCAACATCTGTGAGTTGTACAGAAGTTAGAACAAATTTTAAAGTATTAGATCTCCTTCTTTCTTCACGCTTGATTAGATGATATTTTGGCTGACTTAAGCCACAAGTTATAATGGAATTTGTGATGTGCACTGTTTTCTCCCCTGCTTGACATATTCTTCACATCATCATTATGCACAATCAAGTTGCTTCTGTTCTCGCTAGAAAGAAAAGTTTGTCCCATATCCGACACCCTATGCCTCCTGTGAGAGAGTCATGATAATTTCTCTTCCTTTCTCATCCTCCAAGATTAATACAACAAAAAATATTCCATTATTTTTCAGAATATATGAAACTTGACTTTGCTGCTTCAGGAAACAAGCAGACAACAAAGGCTCTACAGATTCCCTGGGGTAGTGCACAGGGTAAATAAGGCCTCCTTTTAAACTGAAGTATTTCAGCTTTCAACATTATAATCTTAGAATGGAAAAACAGTCCTGATGACAGGCCCCCAGAGAATGAGATTTTCAAGCAGATTGCATTTTTTTCCTTCCATAGTGGGCATATTTAATTATTAGAATAACAATTCTGCATGTTCTTACCTCTCCCACCACTTCCAACCTGCTGGCATCATCAGAAGTACAGGTCAAGTTACCATGGTGAAGCAGAGAGTCATCATCTTTGGAAGGGCTGTTCACACCTTCTAACTCATCAAAAAAAATGTTGACATCCTTAGCTACTAAAAGCAAAAATAAAAATATACATTCAAATCACAGTTAAGTCAAACAAAGTCCTAGAGTGTAATGCATTATTATCAACTTTTTATTTCTGGTATATATACTGTATTAAGTTTAAAATCTCCTGATGTGTATTGGTGCAGTGTTCTTTTTCCACCAGTAAGCCACAGAGAGATTTAGGAGACATAATACATCTCTAATGTCAAGTACGTAATCATCTGTCACAATAAAACATATGTTAGCTATCTCTATGGCTTCTCTTAAGTGCCTTAAATAATTGCATTGGATTACTATGGCCTCTGAAAAGTTCTTATTAAAATGAAGCATATTTTTAACATACTACACAGCACCAACTTAGAAGCCATATAGAACTGTAGGGCAATCAGAAGCAGAGAATCTCAAATAAGTAATATCACTCAAAAGAAAGTGAATAAATGAGCCTGGAATCATTTGGCTATTTTTAGGTTAACACGTTTTCACATCTGCAAAGCTGGCATGTGCAGATCTGCACAGCCTTCAGACCTGGGCATGAAGAAATGACTTAAATCTGTAGGATGCTGAATTACATCCAATCTGATGAACAGTCAGGAGAGAAGCTCCCAAAGAGCTACTTCCACCTGTGGACCTAGTGCTTAGTCCTGGCCCCATGGCAATGCCCCATGGGGCTGCGGCTGCCCCAGAGCAAAGAGGATGGTGAAGGAGTCAGTGTGAATAGAAGAAAAATGCCTTTGCTGAGGTTCAAACCTCTACGATGTGTTCAACTCCACAGTTCATATGTAAAACCCCAAAGGGACCCCAAAAGCTCCCCCAATGAGCCTATCCCCTGACCAAGGCAGGATCAAATACCTCTCCGTTATTCTTGACAGAAATATGTCTTATTCAGTCTTCCTCACACACTTTGCAAACTCAGCTGACTTTTGGACTCATTTTTCTTTGTGCATCATTCTCCTGATGCTCTTGCTTCTCTGTAATTCCCCAAAGTAAGTGACAGGCAGTTGTAATTCCTGTAGACACAAGAGTCTATTACCAGGGAACAGCCAGCGGACTAATTGTTCGTGGCACCTTGGTCCCATTTCTAACTCATGGCTGCAGGTATAGAAATTCATCCCCCCCACTGTGGAGAGCCTGAATAGCATCCAGAAATTAAAGGCTGTTAACTGTTCTCCAGCCTGGGGAGCAGTTTGTGACCGCCCTCTCACCGACTTCTCTTCTATGAGAGATACAGCCTAGTTTAAGAAGTCTCTTAAAAAAAAAATCTCCTATTCTACATGCTGAAGAGCCTGTGCAGGCAACTGATTCTTCACTGTCACGGGCAGGAGAAAGTTTTCTTCCTAATATGCATCCTGCACCCATGCTGCTATTTAAATACATTGTTCTTCTGCTATCAGTCATGAACATAGGGAAGAAGATGCTCCCTTTTGGTACCTGCCTTTTATAGTATTTAAAGACTGTTATTATTGCTTTACATGGATAAAAAGATCACATAAGATCTCAAGATCCAAGGACTCTTTTTCTTCCTTTTCAGGGATAAAATGACAGGACATACCTTGCATTTTACTGCATATACCTTGCATAATACTTTGTTTACAAGGCCACTAAAAATTAGCAACAGCAACAAAAAAACAACTTCACATCCAAACTAGATAGATAGAATAATGTAACAGCAGATACCATAGACTAGACTAACAGCAAGAAATTCTCTGCCAGATTTGCAGTTTTTAGGATGATATATTGCCTCTTAAGTTTAGCAATTCTGAGGTCACACACTACCTAATCTAGCTATGATTCTTCGTATCTCAGCATTGGAATTGCACAATATTTAATCTCTACTTAACATTTTATATCATGATCTTTCAGTTTTAGATAACACCCTCCAGCTTTGCTTGATCCTAACCAGCTTTAGCAGCAATGCTACAGCTAATAGCCCTAGCTACTTCAACTCACCTTTAAGTTGTGCTTGTCATTAAAGTCTTCGAACATGTTAGAGATTTAAAACTATTTTTCACAGATACTAAATTTCTCTCGCATTTTTTTTTCTCTGAGTCCGTTTATTCACTTGTCTTTTTGTGAAATGTGCCAAGATATCGTTAGCATCCAGGAGCTGAGCTTTCTGTTTTTACAGGGTTTGGCCTTCTGTACCACGCTAGAGATGAGTTTACTAAAGTAAGGGGCAAGGCAGCACAGAAATTTCTTGTGCCGTTTAGGCAAACATGACAGAAAGAGCCTACAGCTCCTCACTGTCACTGGGGCTGCATCCAACCCCAGGAAAACTCAGAATCCAACCCTAGGAAAACTCAGAAGGAAGGAACAGATGCCGATCATAGCACAGGCCGCAATAACAAAGAAAAGATCGTCTCCTTTATTCATTTCAGTCCTTAGTAATTATACGAGAGTTGCCCACACAAGACAAGGAAACTGTCACAAAACACAGGATAGCCTAACCACCTTCTCTTCACCTTCCCTACCGAGTCAATTTGTCAGCTAGCAAGACTGGAAACCTTCTAGCCCTTGTGATGATAATCTGCATGTAGCTCACAACCAGCCTTTGTATACTTCTTTGTATGAGAAGAATGTGCATACTTCTTTATATGAGAAGAATTTACCTGAATTATCAATATAAAGAACAGCCGGAGCAAAAACCTCTCTGAATGACTTGAAACTTTGCTGCACTGAAATTCTGACATGCAGCTCCAAGAAAAAAGCACATTAACCTGTATCTGATCAACACCACAGCATATGCTGAAAATGAACAAAAATAATTAAGCAGGAAAGCTTTCTAAAAGAAAAACGAGGTGTATTTTTGTTGCAGTGAAGCAATGAAGGAAATAAAAGTGAAGAATTTTGGATCCTATGCACTAGAGAGTTTGAACTAGCAGCTTTCCCTGTATGAAGACTTCTCTGGTATAACTGATGAGTCCACTGAGATACCAGAAATGCTATTTTCTGCAATGCCAATAATGCTTTGGGTTGCACAGTGGATAGCTTCCCAGTAGATGCCTGAGATACACAGCTTGGTGTGTGAGAGAGTGAATTATTTGTTTTGCAGTTTCAAGCAGAGGAAGACCGGATTATTTTAAAGACTTGCGCTAAACACAAAATCTCATTTCAAGGTCACTTTGAAATCCAGGCCATCTCAGCAGTTATTTAAAATTTGAAATCCAGGCCATCTCAGCAGTTACTGGAGGTTACTTAAAAGAAATAATACAACTTCTTAAAATAGTGTTCCACAAAAACAACTAAATGACTAAAAATCAAGCTCCATCCTCTGTGCTGCTCACTGTGGTAATGGCGATGGTACTTCCAAGCCAACCCTCCTGTTAGCTGTAACTCCCATAACTAAATGTAACCACTCCACACTGAAAACAAACACTCCAAGTTGCCAAAAGTTGCTAAAGACATAGCAGGGCTCCATCTTTTATGTCTGCTTCAGACCAAGTCATATATACATACTCCAAACTGATCCTAACACAATCACACAGAATAATTTTACCCATGATTTGGGAGATGGACTGATGCTATTATATAGTCCTATCTTTTTAGGCAGTGAAATTTAATAGGAGTATGGAGCAACATGCATATTGCTACAATAGATATTAAGGACTCCCCCTACGGTTTTAAATCAGCTTAATTATACAGGTTCTTTCCTCTTTATATTGAGGGGAAAAAAATAAAAGTGAATTAATTATTACTCATATAATAGAATCACTTGAGTTTGAAAGAATGTGGATATACAAATACTTTTCACCCCCAATTTAGCAGAACTACATATTCTGAAAACTGAACATAGGACATTCTGAGTGAGAATCAAAGGGGAATCTGAGTGCTTCCACAAGACTATTCAAATCAGAAGTCTGATTTAGGTATTACTGAAAGATAAGGTAAAATATCACTCCTGTCTTTCTGAAGATGGAAGCCCCCCAACCCAAAGCCCATAAAATAAGAATCTCTTTTCAAAAATGGGACCTAACTCTATGTGTTAATGCGGTATGATGGAAGCGTGTTCACAGAATCACAGAATGGTTAAGTTTGGAAGGGACCTCTAGAGATCATCTAGTCCAACCGCCCTGCTCCAGCAGAGGCACCTATAGCACATGTTCAATTCATCCATGTCACTACAGAAGCATTGTCTGCATCAGTGATTATGTTTCTGTTAATTAAGAGCCTTTTATTACTAATTGTCACATCATGCCACTGAGTATACTCTAGCTTTGGATAATGCAACCTACAGAACGATATTCCAAAATATGCTTTTTGGAAGATTTTAGGCCTTCAGTAATCATCAGTATTACCCACTGCAGAATGACTTTGTTTAAAAATTCTTCTTATTAGTGCTAACAAGATGCTTAGAACAATTCTACATGCAAACAGTTGTGGGAAAAGGGCTGTGTTTTAAGTAAGTCACAGGTCTTGGAGAATGCCGCTTAATAAAATATCATTACTAAAAAATCTGTTTTGCAAGGACTCGCAAAGCAGAAAAAAATCAGCAATGTAAAGCCAAGGCTCTTTCTGCATCTTGTTGTACAACCCATTATAATTTTTGTAACATTTATTTGGATTTTCGGATATAAACATTTTTGTGCTCTCAGTAAGGCAGGTGGATACAATTTACAAAATGCTTTCTGCAAGGAAACCACCATACAATTCTTACAGTCCAGAATATTTTATCAGGTTAAATGTTCAATTCAATAACTAAGCCAGAAATACCAACCCTGTTATAAAATTTCACTCCTTTCTGAATTCCAGACTAAGAGAAGAAAAATGAGGGAACGAAATGAGTTTTCGTTTAAACCTAGTGGGAGTCAATGTACACTGGATATTGAAAAATATTCTGAAAAGGGACTTTTTTCAAGTTTGACATTTTTTGCAATGCCAATAAAAAGGATTTTAATACATTGAAGCAAATTATGGGGATTTATAGGAAAACCTTTGAAATCAAGAGTTTTTTTAATGAAGCAATTGATTGTTTTTCTGCAAGTCACTCTTCTCAGTGCAATAAACTAGGAAACAGGAGCTAGCAAATAGCTTTGCTAGTTGTTGTCCACCTGGACCAAGTTCTGTTGTGCAGCCAGCTGTAGCACCCTTCTGAAGGAGAAGGAGACTGAAAATTATAGAGGTTAATTCCAACAGGAACTGTGGCTCTTCTGGATGAAGAAAAAAACCCTGCCTCCAAGGTGGTCAAAGCGGCCTCCTTCTCAGACATCTCCCAAATCACAACCTATAAATCAAAATGTGAATTCTTGCAAGACTCCCGGTGGAACATCATTGAGTTTTGAAATGACATTCAAACTGATAAAACAGTTGGAAAACCTGCTTCTATTCAGCACTCATCCATTAGTCACTTGCAAATATTTGCTTTATGTTGGGTGGGATTCACAATATATTTGCAAATCCAGAGTGACAATGTTTATAGCTTATACATAAGTATAAGCTATGATAGTGCTTCAACTGAGCTGTTCTCTCTAAATTCCATCTACAAGCAATGGAGACAAATAGCCCCTTTCACGTTGCAGTTCATCTAATCAATTTTAGACATCTACTTTAAAATGAGACAAACTGGGCTCTGGACATGATTATTACTTTCCATTGTCAGGAAAGGTTGCTTAAAAAGTTAATTCAGATGTTGGCATCTTCATCACAAACCTCTGCATTCAAATCTGATAAATCCCTTTTATCTGTGGCCACAGAAAATTGGCATATTTTTAAAAGAAAGTAGTGGTTTTACCTAGAAGTTATACATCTCAAGTTATAAGTAAATTGTAAGTTATATTGGATTTCTGTGCCGTGTTGATTGAAATTTGGGGTTATTCAGTACAAGGATATAATCAAAGAGTGCAATATTGAAGTATGGCACAGTATCAGGAGAAGTCAAGAGTCATTTCAAAAACCTGCTTCAGAAGATAATTGTTAATAGATCTAATCTCGACAACGAATTTGTTCAAATCAGATCACCTATTTTTCTTCTGCTCAGTCTCATGATTGAAAAGAAGAGCTCCTCATATTCAGATGTAGCCTCTTCCCAACCAGAAATTGTTCGTTCTCGTGGGAGGACACATGTCTTTTCAGCCTTTCCAATGACATCCCTGGCTGCTGCCAAGCCTACGCCATACATTAGTGGCTAGAGGGTGAGGAAAATCTCATATTGAGCTTTCCTGATAGGAAAAGCTTTCTAAAATACAAGTGGAGTTAATCCTAAACCTGCAGTTTGAATAATCAGATGATTCATTTTCAGACAATTGCTGTTATCATTGTACTAATCTGAGAGCCCCTCAACTCTAACCACCACCAAATCTCACCATAAAGCTTTCTGTTTCCTGATTCTTACAGCAAAGCTTAGGAGGAGGCATTTAGACATTCTTTTAGAATTCTAAAATATAAGTTACTGTTTCTTCCTTTAGAAAATTATTAACAAATCAACAACAAAAAAAAGTCTGAAATAAAACTGGAAAAGAGGGAAAACAGGCAGTTTTTAGTCTAGCAATATCACCAGGCTATGATTTTGGATTCCTGGCCTGAATAACAGTTTCAACTCCATTTCAGAAAATTTCCACTGAAATTCAAGCTTCTTTTGGATTCAGGAGTTGCCTCAGTCTTTTCGACTGTGAGGGGCTTGAGGAGAGTTTTCTTCAGCCTTTGTTAACAAGACTAGAATTATTTCGAGCTCATGTCTTGAGATCTTCCTGCAGTTGCATTTGAAAGAGTGATCCACCTAATCACAGACCACAGCCATTAGTACTTACATTACTCATACATGACTTATATTACTCATATACTTATGGAAAGAGCCTGCTACTCACGCTAAGATATACAGATCACCAGGTGACACACTTACCTCTTCCAATCCTCAAATAACCTCTTTTCCAAAAATACAGCTCACCAAGATCTGTGTTGACTTGACTTCTGTTCCCTTATAAATGCCAAATAGCCTCCAGTGAATAGAAATGGGTCAGCCCCCAGAGAGCTTCACAAATGTGAATGTAACTCAACATTCGGGAACATTAAAAATGTTAAGAATGGGTTAATGTGATTCTTATTATTTCTGATTACTCCCGCATGGAAAATATTTACTATGGGTACTATTTATTACAGGTATATAATAATTCAAATCTTAATACGATTTGCATGTTAGTGAGAGATTTCTTACTGGCTTTCAATGAAGCACTGAGCTTTCTCACATATTTCAGTAATACATATTCAACATTCATTTGCCAGTTTGTATGCTCCTTTAGTTAAAATTTCAGTGCGTCTCAGTTGACTCTTCTATTGTGTACTCAATTTTATATCCAACAAATAACTTACTTTCTTGTATTGCATTCAGAATTTCTGGAAAGTCCGCATCTGTCTTCTGTACATCTGGTGTTATCCATATTTGCGTTTCCAACTGGTTACCCTGCAAATTCTCTCTTCCTTCTGAAGAAATTGAAGAGATTGATGGGGTTTGTGACAGTGCAGCAGAAAATGCAGCCAAGTGGCTATTAGGTTTGAAGGAACATAGACATCGGAAAAAAAAATGCCTAGATTTTTTTCTTTCTCCAACAGATTTTTTTTTCTTCAAAACAAGCAGCCTTAGACAGAGTGTAGACTCAATGGATTTAAAACTGAACATTTTATGCTGTCAGCAGATTGATAGTCACTACTGCTGAATTCCTCATTCAGCATGCCATGAGCACCTTCACCATGCCACTTCTTATAAAACTAACTCCAAAATGTGAAAATAGACCAAAGACACTGTCACAAATGACACAGGACTACAGTGACAGCTAGGCTAAAATAAAACACACTAACACACCAAAACCAAATTGTCGAGACAAAAAAGAACCATAAGGGAGAAAAGAGCATGGACAGCATATTTCAGCCACAGGACACTGTAAGTTCTCTTGTGACAAGGTGATGTCATACCACAGCTGAGGAAGAGCTGGAGGACTGCAGTATATTTGGAAGGGGGTCATAAGGATCTGTAATGGTTGCTGTGATGTCAGTTCAAGAGCATTGCAGAATATGGCACTTTATCAATAAAAAGGCAAGCTAGCAGGTCACAGTTTCAAATCTATTTGCACAGGTAAGCTTTGTCCAGACACAATGTTCTTTCACATGAGTAAAAAGGCAGAAAGTTTTGAAAACATACTCTTCCCATGCATGGGAAAGCCAGAAAACATAGTGGGCATTTGAGCTTAAACTGCTAGCTAGAAGGTGCTGTGAGGCAGACACAGAGAGCTACTGGGCATATGGCAGGTTTCCGACGAATGGGAGCAAATCCTGATCTTTCATAAATGCATTCATTAGAGGTAATGTTCTTGAGTAAGCAGGACACAGAGATAGTCAAGAGTTGCAGTTGTCAGGGAGATACCTAAGATAGGACTTCAGAACACATTAGTTATGGAAAATGAACCAGCCATCAAGTTATTCGGTCTGTTCTGTGTCTTCACTAGTGGCCATCTTGCCTGCTTTTGATGGAAGCAATTTCCTTTCCTCCACAGTCTATCTAAACAAGGCAATGTTCTTCTGAATTCCTTCCTAATCCATTGTAGTTTTTTTCCCCTCTATTTTGCCCACAAAGTAATTAACTCACCAGTGTCCTTAATGAAAGTAGTTACAGATTACATATTCCTAGGCACAAAATTACTCTGTGCTACTTTAAAGTCCATATTTCTTTTCTATTCTTTTTCTTTCTTTCTTTCTTTTCAAAATGAGCATATACAAGCTTGGATCACTATATCTTCTTTTGTTCCACAGAAAAGACTCACTGTTAGCATCAGATACAATCTCCCTTACAGATCTCTGTAAAATGATCTGTCATAGCAGATCACAGCAGCAGGAGTCAACATTTAATGATGTAGAACAAAAAGAATTGTTTAAGTGAGGCAGCTGATTATTCATATAGTAGCAGCCTAGGGAAATCTGCAGATGGTCTCACTATTACCCCAGAAGAGACTTTTGGACACTAAAGAAAAATACTGCAGTCTCTGGAAGAGACTTAACAAGAACAACACAAAGGTAGAGAAGTGAGCAATAGAAAGCAAAGCAGTTAAACAGCCTTGTCAGTGGCATCTCTCAGTTTCTTGTTAAATAAGCAACTGTCACTTTTTAGCATATACATAGTTGAAGTCTCAAATTGGCTACCAGGTCTCCTCCATTTGAACCCCCAAATAACAACAATCTTGACAAATATAAATACCTTCTCCTCCCTTTTCCCAACCCAAATCACCATTCCTACAAGACGTAAAGGTGCCAGATCTCAGCAGCAGTTCCCAACAGACCTGAGTCATTGGACCAGGGAGGGAGGCAGCAAGAGCCAAAGCAGCTTTGGCCAACACTGTCTTAGCAGCAGATCAGTCAGCTTGCTTCATACATCAGGAGTTGTTTCGTACTATTGCCAAATGGCAAATGTAGCAGGAGAGCAAAAGAGGCTCTGACCAAAGTGGCCTGGGAATGGTGTCAGTTTGGGTGCTGAAGATTGAGAGAAAGACCAGCTAGCAATGAGAGTCCTGAACTGCTGATGTCAAACACATATCCGACAAACAGGTCTGTTAATAAAATGAAGCTGTAGAATTTATTTAATTAATTACAATGTCACTTTTTTAAGTTAATGACATAAAATATCTGAGCTAAATCAGACTGTTGTCCAACTTAAAACAACCTACAAAGACAAGAGAGATTTTGCTACTTTCTTCAAGGAGGTCAGAATTTTCTCTCTTGTATTTGCCCCATTTCAGTACGGGGAGCTTCCAGCATTTCAGTATAGACACAAACAACAGTTTCATATGCTTCTGCCTATTACAGTAGACTTAATATTTGGATTCACTGCACAACTATTGGACTAACAATATCAACCAGTCTGATTTCACTCAAAATGAGAGACATAATCTTCTACCACACAGCTGCAATTTAATATACTCTTAATCACATCATCTTCACCAAAACAAGGAGACCAAAAAGCATATCTGCCAATAACAAATAGCTTCCTAATAAATGATTACAGGAAAGCTTTCCTCTCCCATATTCTTCACAGAGTTGCATCAAGGCAGGTTCCCTCTCCTTCAGCACCCCTTTGTAGGAGAGGATGACACATTTTCTTGTTGAGGGAAATCACCTCAGCAAGAGGGATTGTGGGTGGATGGAGGTGGGCTGGCCAAAGAACAACTTCTGACTTGTTGGAGGAACACAATTGTTAGCCCAGCAACTATAGAAATTAAGTACAATGTTCTGCTCGATGTCTATTTTTTTGCTGGATTTTACCATAGTTCTCCGATGTAACAAATTCAATACTAGTTGGTGCCAATGTGGCTATAAAGGCACTGGATAAGGGCTACCAAGCCTTACCATGTCCTTGGTTAAGCAGATGAGAGGTGTCTGTTGCTAATTCATGCCTTCTCAGGGGTAGATCCCACTGAGCAAACTCTAAGCAATGTTGCCTGGGAGTCTAGGAGGGCAAAAGTAGTATATATATAGTATATATTCCTTTGTTTTGAAACAAATGCAATGACGAAGATTTTCTATCTGCTTAAAATTAATAATTTACTCTTAATTAAGAGTACTTTTTAAAGAAGTACTTCACAAGAAAAGTGCTGTTTTCTTGCACAGTATATATTTGAAGACAGGCTTTCAAAGCTTTACACAGGCACTGTAGTGTGCAAATCCTATTTGTAGGTGGTTACATTCACACTTTCTGAAACTGAACATAAGCAAAAAAAAAAGAAAATCAACATGTTATCTTCAGTATCTGGCACCAAACATAGACAGTATATAAATAGGTTGATAGAGGTAGTGCTGATATTGCTTAATACGTAATAAAGTACTCGCATTTACTTAATAAATCTCAATAATTGTGAACGGATGTGTGAGAACAGAGTTGATCTTTGTAATTCCCAGTGGCTGTCAGGGCTTCTTGAAAATTTTTGCCTTTTAGCTTCCAATCATTGATCAAAGTAAAAGTAGTTAACTCTCCTGCTTTCTGTAATCACTGTCTTCTTTCTTTGTCCCTTCCCCAATTCCAATTAATGAGGAAAGTGAAAACAACAGTTTTATGTAGAAGCTTCTGCTGAGAAAAAAAAAATACACCTTCAAAGAATTTATTTGAAATTGATCAGAAAATATTTCTTTCCCTTCAGTGAGCTGGGAGCTTTTCATTATTTCGGCAGCAAACACGCAACGTCACCACGGTTGTGCCTCAGCCTGGAAATGGAATGGAGTGGCAAATAAGAGGGAAGCCACGTGGGGCGATGATCCTGTCACAAGACTGCCAACTGCCCATTGGCCTCTATTTATTAAGAGCATAGGTAATTCTAATACTGACAATTTTATTCTGCTTCATTAAATGCTGCCTGTAGTTTCTACAGAGAAGTTGCTCCTTCTCAGCAGAGGACCTTCCTTAAAGCAAGCAGAAAGCTGTGTGCATGGTGCCTTTTTCACTCAAGTGAAGCCCAGGTCAGAATGGGGTGAAGCATCATCCTGGCAGGTACATCTTTCCCTGGCTTCTCTCTGTAATGGCCATATTAGAATTATTTCTGTAAGGCAATTTTAAATAGCCTCCCTTTGTACTGAAATACACTGTAATGTATGACGTGTTTAAGTATGTTAGTGTATATATTTTTTTCTTATCTTCCAGAAGCATCAGGAGAGGAGGACCCATAATATTACTAAATTATCTCAGCCTAAGGTATTTTTAAGATTTATGGTCTCCCTTCTCCCCTCCACGTATACCCTGGCTGGCATAAGATGCAGGGAATCTGCCTAGATAATTAACTACAGAGAGGTGAGGAGTCATAAATCTTGGTGTCTCCTGCTCTCTGAAGTCCTGTGTATGCCTTTTCATAGCCAAGGAGGGCTATGGGGCACAACTGCCCCAAAGTGTCCCAGCTGTGTGGAACTCTTCTTCCTTCTTAATTTCCCTTAGACAAAGGCTCAATGTTTTGAAAATTGAAAGGACTCAATATGCACACAGAACTCCCAAGAACAGTGTGTCACTTAATTCTATGGCCAGTATATCCAAGTTCCTGGGTCCTTAGATCCAGACTCTTTGCACAGATCCATGGGGTGTGGATAGGCCCCCTAGAAGCACTTCTTTTCAATGATGATCCAAGGAGACAAGGCATCTACGTGTGTGCCCTGCTACTTTTGTGAGAGCAAAGATCTTTCGCAAGAGCAAGTATCTTTCTAGGTGCGACCAAGCCGGACACGAATCCACAGGGGCAAATGACACAAAACCACAGTATAGAGCTAAGCAGAGACACTTCTGCACACGCACTGCAGACGACTTTTCCTTTTCACCTTATTTATATAAAAATGACAGAAGGGCTGACTGTGTTCTAGTTTTGCCTTTCTTCTTACATTGTGAGTGCACATATAAAAACATAATTACCAAAGATCGCTATGGCATATGTTCAAACTTTTGTTTATCTTTGAAAAATCTA